TCGTGCATGTGTGTATGCGTGTGTGTGTGTGTGTGTGTTTGTATGTGTGTGTGTGTGTGTGTGTGTGTGTGTGTGTGTGTGTGCGTGTGTGTGTGTTTGTGTTGGTGATGCGCATGTTTAGACAGATAAAAAAGAGAGATAGAGACAGACAGACAGAGACAGAGAGATAAAGTAACGGCGTTCCAGCAGACCAGTTAATATTTTGAAATATAGGAGTAGTACAGTATGAACAACAAGAGTGGTTTCACTCTGTTGTATTAAAAACAAGTGTACTACTTCGGTTTTACAAAAGTGCTGTTCTACTACAACATTGCAATATTATGAACAGGCAGAAGTGAAGTATACTATTAAACAAAGAGCAATTCTACTATGTTTTACTATCATCAACATAGATGAAGTAGGGTTAAACGAAGAGTAATCTTACCTTCATTATCAGCATGTTATCTTAAGTGTAGAGCAGTATTAGAGTCATGTTATAAGAGACAACTTGCTCGTTTTGTATGGTGCAGTAGCAAACTGGCGTGTCACCTACCTGCGAACTCTCCTGGCCTGGTAAGTATTAGACATAAGTTCAATTCCTATACGATGTGTAGTGGAAATATTGTATCGAGAATACTGGTGTCTGTAGAAGCGGTTAGGTACTTTGCTGATGCATGCAGGAGACCCGAGTTTGATTCTTGCATGGGAAACATTTTGTCAAGTATCTCGGTCTTTCTACTGGGATGCTGCATCCCTCTCAGCATGGGTAGGTCCTGACAGGCAGAGTCGGAAGCCCGCATCCTAAATGTCCTAAATTGAGTCGCTGGTGGCGTAAAACGTTTATCATATTTTTTTCAATTTAACGCCTATGGTAGGTCCTAATTTTTCCCTCTGTTGATTTTAAATGTCTCACTCTTTTCCTACACTAAATGACCATTATGAACTAAATGTCCAGTTCCATAAAGAAATGAACATTTTTTTCTCTCATTGATTAATGCATGTTTTGTAGTCTGATGGCGTACGTAACTTAAGGTTCAAGCTTGTTTTAGTGTTGATTGAGTTCAGGTTTTATTTCATTTTGAACGTGGCAGTGAGAAAGTTTTCAGCTGGAACACACGAATTTACATAGTTTCATGGTATGTTATGTAATTTAAGAATGGTTGTTTATTTCTTTCTTTCTTTCTTTCTTTCTTTCTTTCTTTATTTATTTATATACTTACT